ACTACTACTACTACTACTATCATCACCACCATTACTTTTCCCACCACCACTGTTTCCTTTGGGAGTCCCGCGAGCAAGGCCATGGATGCTTGCCTACCAACAGACGGCCTGCTGCGAGAAGGGCCTTGCAGGAGGGAGTTCTTTGGGGTTTTAGGGCGTTTTCGGTTTAGGGGTTTAGGGGCTTAGGGGTTTAGGGTTTTGGGGTTTAGGGTTTAGGGTTCAGGGCGCTTAGGGCGTTTAGGGTTTAGGGTTTTAGGGTTTAGGGCTTTGGGGTTTTGGGGTTTAGGGTTTAGGGCGTTTAGGGCGTTTTAGAGTTTTGTATGTTGATTCTGGAGCCCGGAGCCCGACAACCCTAAGCCCTAAGCACTTATCCCTATGGTCCTTCGAGCCTGAACCATCGTTGCCTTCGACGGAGACATCACGCCTTCAGAGCTTCTGAGGGTCTTACACCAGCAGGGTTCGGATTTGGATTCTAGTCCTACGGTTGATGATATAAATCCTGCATTACCCCCCAATAGGGAATCGAATTACAGTATTTCCCATAGTTTAGGTTCCTTAAGGTCATGCAGGATGTATATCATCAACAGTATGCCCAAAGTTCCCACCCACTGCTTCTTGCCATCACCCTCAAAGCACCTCCACCATCCAAAATCCAAGCGGTGAAAACAGAGCCGTGACACCAACCCCTAAACCCTAAACCCATTTTTTGAAAGGGGCCTCTGACCCGGACCACCTCCTTCTAGAGCGGATCGACACGGCCTTTGGCTCCGTGCTGACACAGGTGGGGACTGCGGGAGTCTTGTGTAGCAGGGGTCTGGTAGTAAAATAATGGTATCCCCATAGAGTTCGTATATGATTTTCTATATAATAACTCAAACCCATTCGAACCATTTGTTGACCTCTTCTAGTGTCGGTAACATCAACAGCTACCGTTCCTCCTCCTCCCGCTTCTTCTACGGCGACGGCTACGACGACTACGATTGCTACTGCTTCTGCTGACATCCGAACTACTGCTACTCTTACTGCCACTTCTCCCACTTCTGATTCTGCATCAGCACCGCCGCCGCTGCCACCACCGCCATCACCAACACTGCCACCACAAGCACCACCACCACCGCCGCCATGACCACCACCATGGCGACCACGACCACCGATTGCAGCCATTACATTCACAGTCAGGACAGTGTAACACTCATGATCAGGCCATTCTGGTCAGTTCATGTTAGATATGTTCACTATGAGTGTCATCTTCCTTTGAGGGAAGTTGCTTGGCTCATTGGCCCGACGGCTCTGGACTGGTGCTAATAACCACTGAGTCTGCGAGCATTCCTGCCGCAAGGCTTTCAACGGCTTCACGTTTATTAGGGCTCAGGGACCGCAAAGCTGCGCTCGAATCGCTATGCCATGTCAGCTTCAAGCAAAGGATCTTGCGAGTTCAGTGCCCAGATTTCTCGAGAAGTGCCCCAAAGAGGAGATGAAGGGAGCGCCTGGGCTCCTCCAGTTTAAACCGCAGACTACCCGATAGTGTTCGCGCGCTTTTGGGAGGATCCCATTGTCCTTCGACAGATCTGCAAAACCCCGCAAGCATTCACAACGTCTCGGCGAGTTCTGGCTTCCCATCCTCCCGAAACCCTAAACTCTAAACCC